CTCCATTTCTCTCTAAACCAACTATCAGCATAGAGACTCATACTTTCCGTATTGGATAGGACTCGACCCACTGGATACCCTCCCACCCCAGGGCTTGTCTCCAATTGTAGAATGGTGGTTACACTCTGTCGGTCCCGAAATTTACGTAAAACATACCCAGACGGCTTATCACCCCACAAAACATCCTCTAACCCCGCCCTAACCCTAATTGCATCAAACCTATCATTGTGTAATTCAGCTATTCTACTCCGCAGTCTGTCCATATCATCCCTCCTACCACCTCCCCCAACATAACAATCCTGCAACTGTCCCTCCAGATAATTTTGCAACCCAAAACGCCACCTCGCCTCCTCTCGTCCCCTAGCCTTAAAAAAATTCGCTATTCAGGTTTTGCCTGCATTTCCCACCAATCTAACAGATCTATCTCCCTGTTCCTAGCCTCCCAAAGAGGCAACCACCAATCACTGAAAAAAGGCCCCTCCCCCTCCTCCTTAAGAAGCCTTACATTTAATTTCCAGTACCCAGAATAAATACGCACCACTCCATCCCACATCAAATCTGCTATTACCGCTCTGTGATCAGAAAACCCACATCGAAGGTTTGCACCCTCACAACATCTATACCTGCTTAATATAAATTCTGTCTAATCGCGCTTCATATCCCTACGGACGAACGTATGCTCCACTAGGTAACCCCCTCCCCACCACATCAACAACCCCAATATCTCGCAATACATCCCTCAGCACACTCAGCACACAACCGCCCCTCTCGGTTCGACATCACCACTCCTAATCACACAATTCCAATCACCTCCTATTACTGTTTATAGCAGGCAAACCTCTCAAGTGATACAGCAATACCTCTTGACAAAATCTACTTTTACCCTGGTATTGCTAGTTGCTGGCATGTAAACTCCTACAAAACTAGCTCGACTCTCACCCCAGACACCATCCACCCTCACGACCCTCCCACCCCCCCCCTCTTCCCAGCCGATGACACGCAAGGGGCTGGTCTCCTTTATCGCCACTGCTACCCCACCTTTCAATTGCAAACCACTGGTAACATACATCCGATATCCTTTTAACCGCAACACACAACCAGCCCTATGATTATGCTCTTGCAAAAAGCAAATATCTACATCAAACCGCCGTAAAAACCACTCCAACCAAACTTTCTTAACCTCAGTCTTAAGTCCATTGACATTAAGCGTGACACTTCTGAAAATTATAGAAGTGGCGGCTTTCCCCTATGCCGCTGGGATTTACTCGCTGCACTTTTCACATTACGTATTCCTTTACCACTCGAGTTATCCTGTGCAGTCACCTCCCCCCTCCCTCTCCCACTGTGCAACTCAGGCGCACCTCTAGCACTATGAGGCATCGGCTCCACAACCGCTGCCCATGACTTCTTCCCCGGCCTCTGCCCCGGGGTAATAACCTCGTCTATCTCTGATGCCGCAGTTCTTTTTCTAGAACTTCCACTTACACACATCTCACCCTCAGACGTATCCTCCTGGTGTACCTCCACGGCCACCACACACTCCAGCCTTTTCTTACTCAAGTCTTTCTCCACAATTTGTTGTCCCTCCAGCTCTCCAACTTCACATAAACTGAGGACACCTTCTACACCAGGCTCATCCCCATCCAAAAAATCCTTGATGACATCTGCCAGTAAACCCTCCTGAGTCGAAGCTTCCTGGACTAAAGACTCCTCAGATAACACCTTCGACTCCCCCGACTCCCCTGGGATAGTGACACACGTCTCCTCCTCCGCCACCTCCCGGTCGACCTCCTGGCTCCAGAGATCTGGCCTCCGGCCTCCAGAGGCAACAGAGCCAGGCACCAAATCACACGACTGTTGAATCACAATCGGCGTTTCCAGAATTCGAGGAGCCTGCCTCCTAGGACACTGGGCTGCCATGTGCTCATAAGAGCTGCACAGACGACATGTTTTTCTCTGACCCGCATAGTACACATAAACCTGTGTTCTACAACCCGGTCATCGTTACATAGGATGGTTATAGGTCTTGTTAAAGACATTTTAAGGGTGTAAGAACCTTCTGGCATTCCTTCATACGGACCATCCCTCCATACCCCCATGGTTGCAGAATGCACTGTCCCATAACTGCGAAAAAAACTCCTGTAGTCCATACGCCGTAGCCTCGAAGGGTACATTCCGTACCTTCACCCATGTGTAGTACTTAGAAACATCATGTAACACAACATCCATCGCTGAATTCACACTCATGCGTTGTTCCTGGTACTGCTCGACAATTCTTGTGTAGAAGCCGGCTCTCAGAAATTTCACGAAGATTCTTGACAAACATTAAGAGCGACGCCATATAATTCCTCGTTGGGGATACCATATGTGTCCCTGATGATGTTAGGGAGAAGTACGTTCATCGTATCTCCACTTAACGTACCACGAACCAGCTCTATGCAGATAGTATTTACTCTCCGTACTGTATGTTCAGCCATTTTGATATCCCAAAATGAGCAGCGCACGTCCACACTACTCAATGGTTGTTGATGTACTGTGATAGCTCGCCTGAAAAACAGCAGAGGGGTGCTGGGCACAACCTCACTCCACCGTAGTCAGGCAGCGAATGATCAACTTGTTGACCATTGAGTCTGATCTAACAAGAAATATTGATTTTCAGAATATAATTGATGATTTTGCCAATATGAAATCCAGAAAAAAAATTTATTTAAGAAGTGCCTGTGAATATAAACAATTCTTTACTTTCTTGAGTTTATATGATTTGATAGTCTTATGCATGATGCAATGATAACAATAATGGTCAGTGATTTATAAAGGGAATAATAGTGCTGTAGTGGTTATGCTGAATATAATAGGTACATGATGTCACTACTTTAATACCCTAATCTAGTAATACTATGCTGTCTTGAGTTTATTCTCTTTAAAATGCATGATTTAACAAGATAGTTATAATGGCTGTTGGTTTTCTTGATGTACTTTCCCTATTAAATTTAATCTAAATAGCCAGAATGTATTTAATTAGACCTTAAACAGGCTCACACCGACCCCTCCCCCCCCCAAGCTGGAAGGGGCCGCTTCGCTTACCCGTAACTCAAAGGGGCCCCGCCAATCTGAATAGGCTAGGGCCCGGAGACTTCTTAATCTGGCCCTGCCTAAACTAACCTAGCATAAAGGCTCAGTTAAATATTTCTTGAGTTAGAGAAAACTTGTTTGCAAGGTTATACATTAAATTTCATCACGTAGTTTCATCCCAGCCCTGCAACTACATACAGCGAGTGCATATATGTAGCTAGCAGTGCTGGTGGTATCCTATATCTAGTGTTGCGTTTATCATAAATATTATTAGGGATGGGTCGATACTAATTTTTTATGATACCAATACCAGTACTGATATGGCTAACATCAAAATCAGCTGATACTATTACTTTGGTACATCCCGAAATATTATAAAGCTTTCCAGTGGATGTAGCACATACTAACTTCTGTAAATACTACCTAGTATCCTTGATTTTTTTTAACAAGGCCTGTATCGGATGTCCAAGTTGAAATAGTTAGCAGACGCGAGAACTTGTGATATTCAGTAGTTTCATATACAACTGTAACAGCTCTGTATGACCCGTTGGTGTTTAGCGCTTAGTTTGATTATAATACCATTATTATTCACATAAAAGTAATATTTTCCTTATAACCGCTTTGATACGCTAGGCCTGATAGGCTGAGCGCAGCTCCAACCAAACCTAGCAAAACAGCCTTCAGTTAAATATTAATAAATGGAGCCTACTCTCTTTGTAAAGGAATTACTGTTGTAACTGTTGAAATCTACTTATTAAATATTTGTGGAAAATACTGTATATATTTTCCGGAAATACTGTAATTTATAGGTAAATAATGTCATAGAAAACGGAAAGCCTGCGTCTGGGCAGGTGACTCGCCATCTTGGTTTTGATTATTATTATAATCAAGAGGGAAGCGCTAAACCCGGAGGATTATACAGCGCCTGGGGGGGGATTTGAATTTTGTACAAACGTTGGTGTAATGGGAAGAATTTTTCGTGCTCTAGAGGTTAAAATTGTGTTGACACCTCTCAAATAGGAGGCGAAATTGGTGGATGTGCATTCCTGCATAACCTGAGATATCAGACGACTGGACAAGACAGCTCCAGGAACCTCAGATAAGCTCTCAAGATTTGTGTGTAATTCTGGCCAGCATTATTTTCGTAGATTTAGTTAGAGTGAGGTTTTCTGAGTATGATACACATTAATCTCCAGTCAAATTGGTGTGATATTAAGATATATTTTCCTTCTGTTATGTAATTGTTGTATATATAACCATTTATTATTTTTAATATACAGTCCACAAATTTATATATTTACCAGTATTCCTGGTGTATGTATATTTCATTTAATTAATAGGTCCAGAGCAACTTGTGGTTATGACAGTGGTAGGTATCGAAGGGAGACATTTTTTTTGCGACCTAGGTGTCCCAAATTCCTACTTGTCTATGTAACATTGATAAATAATAATTATCTTTATCATTTACTGTTATGTACATAATTAGTTACATTCGGATAAATGTAATTTTCCACAATATTACTAATATTACATTTGAAAGTGAGGACAAGTTTTGCACAGTACACAAGTATTGGCGGATGACATCCTTATCTAATATTTCATACAATACAATAAAAAAAATATATATTACATTATATATTTATTGGGATTATTAACCCGGAGAGTTAGAAACCCAAGATAACTCAAACCACTATGGCTTATTTTCCCTTCTGCTCCTTCTTTTTTCACTAGATGAAACTCATTATTTTTATTATGGGGAGCGCTAAACCTGGTGGGATTATACGTCTTTTTTTTTGGGGGGGGGGGGAGGATGGAAGGCATTCATGCTTAATTCAGGGAATTGGATTTAGATCCAATTCCTTAGATCAAGAGCCCCTCACCAGCAATGAAACTCACTATAATCGGCTTACACCCAGGTACCTACTTACAGCTAGGTGATGAGAGGCATCAGGTTTAAAGAAATATGCCCAGCGTTTTCACTCGTGCCGGGACTGAACCCAGGCCCTTCAGATGTGAGCCAAAGGCTATACCACATGAAGAAAGGAAAGTTTAAACACAACCGATAACCTAAGATTCAAATACTTATATGGAGTTACAAGACAGGCAAGGGAACAATGTAGGAAAATCGCACACAGTAACATTATACAAAGCCCATTTATTGTAAGCATTTCGTCAATATGTAACCACCTTTTTAGCTGAGAATAATCCCAGCTAAATACAAAACTGCAGGACAATGTTTTTGGGAACACAAGCCTCATATATAAACAAATGGTCGTTTTCTTTCTACATACTATATCGTGTTTTTATCTAACAAAGTGAAAACAAAAATTGACCTCTATCAATATTGAAGTCCTAGGACATATGTACACATTCATCAATAAGTTTTAACGCAGTATAACACGTCATACCTTAACTTAGGTGATATATATTGTGCTTGAGCTGCGCAAACTACACCTCACACCGTCAGTATCAACACTGCCGAGTTTAACTGAGTACCCTCTCCCATTTTCAATGGATCCCATCACAAATTAAATTTTTTTTTGTATTTTATTTAAAAACATTGTGTGCAACATACATAGCATCACATATATATTATTCATCAACATTAAACAATACAAAGAAACGTGCACACCCTATCCATACAGTACGACGCCATCCGTCCACTTCTACTATGACAGGTCTTAACATAAATTATCATACAATAATTATTATTATTATAATCAAGGGGGAAGCGCTAAACCCGGAGGATTATACAGCGCCTGGGGGGGGATGTGGAAGGCATTCAGGCTTAATTCGGGGAACTGGAGCACAGATCCAATTCCCTAAATCAAGAGCCCCTCACCAACATCAAGGAACCTTCCTTGAGGGGAACGGATGCTTAACCACAGGTGTTCAGAGAGACTATTATTTCTTGACTAATCACCTGCAATACCAGGGATCCCTGCAGTACCATCCAAACTCTCAACTCGCAATATAATCGCTGTAAATTGCAGTTTCAGGGTCCTAGTCTCGGAGCTGGTGGGCACTAGTTTCAGATAGCTGTTGGCGCTAGTTTCAGGGAGCTGTGGACACGTTTTACGGAAAGGAGGACGCTAGCTTCGGTTAGAGGATGGACACTTTTCAGGGAGAGGGTGAGCTCTAGTTTCTGGGAAAGGGGGATCATTAGTGTCAGGGAGCAGGAGGGAAGTTCCGTTATCAGGAGAGCGCTTGGGATGAATGATCCTCCCATCATATGTAGAAGATAATTGCTGCACACAGGATGGGTTAGGGAGAAAGTAACCGCCTTTATTACACAGCATCACAAGCCAGCACTATCCTAAACAATGCTAAAAGTCTATCAGTACTTAACTACAACATCAGGTCCTTACGCAAACACTATGATGACCTCCTGGCACTCCTTGAATCACTAAAGACACCCTTCTCCTACATTATTCTTAATGAGACCTGGCTTAAGCAGGACACAATAGATATCTACCCTCTACCAGGATACACAGCAATTCACAACTGCAGACCAAACCAAGTTGGGGGTGGTATTGCAATCTATTACTCTAACCAATTATCCTGTATTAGCACCACTTGCTTTAGTGATGAATATGGGGAATACATTTTTGCTAATTTTACTGTAAAAAACCTTAAGACACCTATAACAATCGGTGCCATTTACCGGATACCTCACACAAACATCCCAAATTTCAGTGAGAAATTAATAGTCACTAATAACAAACAGACAAATGAATAAGCACCACCTTCTCTTAGCTGGAGACTTCAACATCAACCCTTGGCATACTAGATGATCAGCCTGTAACTGATTTCATCAACAATATGAACAACACACTTCTCATACCAACAATAACTAAACCAACCAGGCTCACTGAGACAAGTGCAACCATAATAGACCACATATGGACCAATATACTAGCCCCCCTTAAATCAGGGATAATCACAGATAGCACTACAGACCACTACCCTACCTTCCTCCTGACAAACATTAGTAAACCACCACTTGAATACAACAAAGTATCATTTAGACTCCATGAAGAGGCCTCAATAAGGAAGTTCACAGCTGACCTAGAGACTGTTGACTGGCCTACAGAATTCTCCAAGGCCAATGGTATTGATGACTGGACAGACATTTTTCTTAACAAACATTGTTCTATAAAAACGAAACAGATCACAAACAAACGGCTTGGTTGCCCATGGCTAACCAGCACCATTCTGAAATCCACTGACAAGAAACACCAATATGAAAAGCAATATAGACAGGCTTAATACACAAAGATATTCTTAAACACTATTCATCAGTTCTCACGAAAGTAATAAAGAAAGCCAAACAACTATACTACTCCAGTAGATTCACAGACACTAGAGGAGATATAAAAAAGACCTGGAAAACACTCTCTCAGATTCTAGGGACCCACAAACTGAAAAAAAACAAGAATATTGTCCTAACTAAACCAAAATGAAACACCACACATCCCACTGACACAGCTAACAAGATAAACGACTTCTTCTCAACCATAGGATCTAATCTCGCCAATAAAATCCCACATACCAATGCCCATGCCGGGGGACTACCTAGATGGGAATTTCCCAAATTCCTTCTTTCTTGCACCAACTGAGCCCACGGAAGTCACCGAGATTATAAAGTCACTTAAAAATAACTCAGGGAATCTGTGTCATGTCCCACCATTACTGTACAAGCGAGCGGCCCATGTCCTTTCGCATGCTATTTCATTACTTTTTAACAAGTCATTAGAAAACTAGCACCTTCCCGAAAACTACTCAAGATGGCAAGGGTTACATCAATACATAAAGGTGGCGACCCTACAGACTTAAACAACTATAGGCCAATATCAAACTTACCACTGCTATCCAAAATCTTTGAGAAACTCATGCACAGGAGACTATATTCATTTATAATGGCACAAAACATACTCGACCCTGCCAGTTTGGATTCAGGAAAAAATAAAAGCACTAATGATGCAATCATAAAAATGCTAGATCTGCTTTACACAGCATTGGAAAATAAGGAATATCCACTAGGAATTTTTGACCTAAGAAAAGCTTTTGACACAGTAGACCACGACATCCTACTCCACAAACTTGACCATTACGGTACAAGAGGCCATGCTTATTTCAAATCTTACCTTACTAATAGGTATCAGTATGTCACCATTAATTAAAGACACAGCATCAACAACACGGCCACTTGATACTGGAGTTCCGCAGGGAAGTGTCCTTGGTCCCCTGCTCTTCCTCATATACATCAATGATCTTCCAAACGTATCTCAACACCTGAAACCCATTCTCTTTGCTGACGAAACGACTTATGTCACCTCTCACCCTAATCTTGCCACCCTCAACACCATTGTTAACGAGGAGCTGATCAAAATATCGACTTGGATGACAGCCAATAAACTTACGCTTAACACTGACAAAACCTACTATATTATGCTTGGTAGCAGAGCAGGAGACGCACAAATTAACATTAAGATCGACAACACACTAATTACCAGACATGATGAGGGCAAATTCCTAGGCCTATACCTCGACAACAACCTGAATTTCAGCACCCATATCCAACACATAACAAAAAAAGTATCCAAAACAGTTGGGATCCTCTCCAAGATACGATACTACATCCCGCAAAATGCCCTTCCCCAACTATACCTTTCACTCTTTTCCCCCATAAATCCCTATGCTTTTTGGCTTGAGGATCAACGGCACAACACACCTAAACCCAAATAATAGCTCAAAAAAAAGCTGCAGTAAGAATATCACTAAACCTCCCTGGCAAAAACCCCCCCCCCACTCTTCAAGATCTAAACTTACCCCCGTTCAGACATCCCACTTACTACGTGCAATCTATATACAGACCTTAAATTCCCAATATTAACCTTTGACCAAACTGTTTTCTTGAAGTTGTACGGGACCCACAGGCAAAACACCAGACAAAAATCTCTACGACATTCCCCGTGCCCCGACTAAACCTTTAAAAAATTTCAATTAGTAAAAGGGCCCAAAAAGGAACACCCTACCTGAGAATCTGAACTGCAGACACTTTATCATTTCAAAATACCTTAGAAAACATCTTTTTCCCCTATCCCCCCGCAACTAATAAAAACGAATACCACCTGGGGGTTCCACTTACCCCAAACCACCCTTTGCCCCCCCCCCCCCCCACTCCTCACCCATTTGACCAAAACAAATTTTAAAATCTAAATCTTAAAATAAGAATCCTGTGTACTCCATACTGAAACTAATACTGTGCCAAAACAAAAGCATTCACATGCTAAACTCACAAACTATTTTTAGTCACTTAGCCAAAATTTACCAACTTACCTCAAATTTGTAATTTTTTAAAAAATTAAAATTAAACAAGTCTGCCCGAAATGCCTAATGCTAGGCGTTCTATGGTACACTCGTAATCTTATTTTACTACAAGAAACCACACAAAGTCAAATTCTCATTGCCTCATGCTTTATTCCCGTGGGGTTTGGGCTCCCACACCTCCGGTTGAGGGCCTTCCGCGCGATTGTTTTTCAAAAAAGGGCAGACTATCAGAAGGCGCGCAACACTGTGTTTTTGATTTAGTGCGGGGGGTAATTACCCCAGTCGCACAGGTGCTTCTACCTTTGATTATCGCGACACATACGGGGCTATCAAGATTTGTATGGATATCGCTCAACGGGGGTTACCGAATATTTTTAAAACTACGATCCCGGCCCGGTAGAGCGCCGGTGGAGCAGTACAAGATGGCTGGTTTGGGCCCTAAACTTGCAAAAACATTCGTTTAAAAGCGTTCGCGACATACACTTGGGAAGGACGCAACTGCCCTTTTGAAGCTGACGAGGCAGAAAAACGGAACTTTTTTTAACTTATGGTACTGTGCATCGGCAATGGCAGGGACCTGGGTGGATGGGCGTACGCCGGCGCCGGGGGTACTTCAACCTAAAAATGACGCGAGGGATCCCCTCCCCTCTTTTGTCATCCCGGGCGACTTTGGACGCAAGTATGGTGTATTTCGCAGGGGGAGCGCAAGACCTGCAGGCTATGTGGTGCTTATGACCTA